CATGTTCTAAGCTTTGCCAACCGTAGAGGGATTGAATCTCCTTAAAGAGAGCGAGATATCCACGCCTCTGTCCGTCTAGTTTCGTTATTTTTCCTATTTATTTTATAAATCCATTTTCAATTATTGAAATTTTATCAACAAATCCTAATAATGAAAATAAAGATGAATAGAGAGAATTTCAAATTGTTTTAGATCAAGAATTATATGTCAAAAAGTTCTTCATTTTTTATGCTAAACTAGCTACATTACCTCTAGCAAATCATTCCCCTAAATTTATAAATGAAGCAGTTTGAATGTAAATTGTGCCTTATACCAATGAAGTTGTCTCTGTAATGTACATCGTGGTATGACCACACCAAACTTACAAAATAACTAAGGAGATATTCAATGGGAACTTCAGACTTGGGGCTTGAGTTTAGGAAATTTGGAGGGGATAATACTTAAATGTTTTCTGGATGCTAAATTTGCTGCTATCAATGACACTAGGAAGTCAACTTAGCATGTTTTTATACATGAACTTAGTTGGACGGACAGGACCACGTGGCCCTGTTCAAACAGAATTATCCTTTAAACTTTTAGTATGGATTAAATTTTTAATTTCAATTTAATTAAAGTCAATAATTAATTTTAATTACAAGTTTAATAGGATATACAACTTTTTAACTATACATTTGATCATTTTTATCAAAATTTACTAAAAATCGTATTTTAATCTCACCAAACAATGGCTAAATAATATTACAAAAATTAGTTGCACTAGCCACGAGTAAGTTGATGCTACTGAGAGCAACTCCAATTAGTTGTCAAAATGGCATAAAATTGGTGCTTCATTTTGGCAGCATATTTTCACACCAAATTAGAATAACTGCAAAACCGTTTATTTGGTTCAAAATATACAAGTTTTATTATTTTTCATTTTGTCCTTTATTTTATAGCAAAATAAATTTTAATTAATAATATATTCTATTGACTTCAAAAAATACGCCAACAAAATTCCAACCACATCCCCTCCACATAGACATCACATGCACCCAATCTGTTAATCTCAAAAAAATACGCCAACAGAATTCCAACCGCTTCCCCTCCACGTAGACATCACCTGCACATTGAACACGCCATTAGGAGGCAAAGACAGTCGGTTGAGAAAAAGGTTCGACGACCATTTGCACTCCGACGATTAAGTCAACGACCGAATGAGAGAAAATATAGCGCAAGAGAGGGAGAGGGGATTTGGTTAGGTAAAAAACATACCTTAATTGTATAATGAAGTCCCATATATAAATAAAATGAAGATGGGCCAGGTGCATTAATGGGTCTCGTCCAAGTCCAATAAAAAGACCCAATATGCAATAATTTTATAGGCATGATATGTTTAATATTCTTTTATTACTCAATGTTTTGTAATAAATTGTAATCTAGTAATAGTTAATAACTGTTGAACAAATTTAAATAATATTACTCATTAAAATTCAAAATTTACGAATTTGATAATTACAATTTAAGAAGAAATTATAACTACCTCAACATAAAATATTTAAAACTAAAGAAATTTACATTGGACTTCAGAAATCATTAATTAATCATTTGTGGAATGAATATACTAATTTCAAGAATTAAATTTTAATTAATTAAATATAAATTTTAAGTTATTAATTCCAGTAGTAAAAAAATATATAACTAAATATTTCTTGAATTGAGAATTTAAAAATAGAATTTTTTTGAGTGTACAGAAGCCGAGTTCCCAGAATCAGACCAGATAACTCACAAAAGAGTGGACCCCACAAAATAAAAATGTCAAAAATTAACCCACCCATCCCCTCGTTGTAAGGTGTCGGTAGGGGGCTCTATGCACACCTAACTGTACACAAGTGATTCTATTAAAAATAAGGAAAGAGAGGGAATATCTTTTTGGTGTAAATTAGGTGTGATGAATTGGAGATTATTAAACAAGATTGTGTGAAAATTATCCTATTTTGATGAAATGAGCTGGAGATTGTCTGATGCACTAAAAGATGACATTATGCTCAACCAGACTATTGATTAAGTTATGACCAATTGAAAATGAAATTGAATTATACTCAGACACTAAGAGTGCAATTCACCTTAACAGAAATTCTATTTTAATGATAAGACTAAACATATTGATGTTAATTTCTACTTTAATTCGAGACTGTCTTGTACAAAGCACAAATAGGATTGAGAAATTATGTACTAAGTGTAACCTTATTCATAGGGGACTAAGATTTTACAATTAAGTAAGTTTAGAAACTGTTTAAGTCACATAATTTATTGTATGCAGGTACACGAGTAGATAAAATTGAAGGTAGGACATTGAAAAGTAAAGGCAGAGTCGTGACGATTGTTAAGAGTTACTTGTCATTGGTCCATTTTGTTGCTCAAAGATGATCCATGTCCAAGTGGTCGAGAATGGATAATATAAGCGCATAGGAAATGCGGCTTTTTTCATGTTGGATGCGTACCTTAGACGCTGACATGTGACAACTATGAGTCCTTGGATAGTAGGCTACTCGTGGAATCCTTCGAGGGACCCCAATCTCCTTCTACGTTGGCAATTTTTACACTTCTTTTCTCACTCTCATGTTCGTAAAGAATTCTCTCTAAATTACCATTTTCTTCCCCATATATTTGTAGATTTCTTGAGTACCGGTTGTAATTCTAGGAGATTAGGTTGTTTGCTAGTCTTGGTTGTAATAACCCTTTGATATCTGGCTGCACAAGGTGCGAGTTTATTGTGATGCGTTGTACAAGAAAATTGTGATACTTAACGAATCTAATTGATGTAATGTTTTTCTTTTGGACTTGCACTCGCGGATTTGTGCATGATACACTTCGGTGGATACTCAACGTAGTGAATAAGCGTTTTAGTTGAACAGTTGAGCCCTCGTGACGAAAAACTCTTACTGTTCTTTACCACTTTCTTGATTTTAAGCGTTCTTGGTGTTGGTTAAGTCATAAACTAGGATCGACAGTTCTTTTAGCCTATTGAATCATCGAATTGGGAGGTAACTCCAAAATGTATTTTATTAGATATTTATCCTAATCATAAACATAGTACGAATATTGTCTTCGTCAATTTATCTTAATTCAACGATGACTAATGATGATACTTTTGTAACTTTATACTTTTTAGCCAAACTTTTAGTATTAGTATAATTAATTAAGATGGTTTGTGAAAGTTGTGGGAAACTCTCACGAGTAATCGTTCTCGTTAAGTAGAAGATTAGGAAGACTTAACTACTAAGCAAATAAAATGTTAAAGATAAGAGCACTCAAATTATTTCTTCTTCTAATCTTTCAATTTTCCACTCATATGTTCGACAACTTTTACGAAATAGCAAAAGCTAAAAGGTAGATCGAGCCAGCTTGCATGTATTGCTTTTATTGATTGGATGGCTATACTATAAAGATGTTAGGTCGACTAAAGTTTGGCGTGATGACTATTGCCGTCGTTGACTAAAGTTTGTTAAAAAGATATTGTGACTGTTAAAATTTTCTGTCAAAGTGGCAAGACACTCGTCAAATCATGCTATATCGTTAGAGTTTTTAACATAAACCTTGATATAATTTGGAGTGTTTTAAATACAGTTAGTTTTCCAATCAATTCATCTTCTGCCACCTCAAATTATGTCAAAGTATCTGTTAAAATTTTATGTCAAAGTGGCAAAAACCTTGTCCACCATAGCATTTAATGTCTTTACAATTTGTTCTACCCTAATTTTTATTTTTATTTTCTTGCTTTTTAATGGATTAATTATTTATGAAATCAAATTTAAATAATATATTTTTAATATATAATTAAGGATAAAATCCCATTAATATCTTGACTTTACTTCTTAAAACAATTTACATTTTAAAACCAAATTTTAAATATTTCAAACCAGCATTTGAACGAAGGCAAGTTGAATTAAATACACAAAACGGTCCTAAAAACGTAACATTGATTCAAAAAGTGTATTTTAAAATTTAGCTCCTTATTGACGTGATATAGATATTTAGTTATTGTGTTACGTGTCTATTGTGTGGGTGATCGATAAACGAGTGTCAAGTCAATCGGTTTCGATAGATTGGATAACCGCAATGAACGTAGAGTGATAAAACAGTAAAATTTAAATATAAATTACAATTAATAATCTAATAAGTATAAATTAAAATTTAATCATACATTTGACAATTCGCTATTAAATGGAATCCTAAAACTTCATATGGTCACCATAGCCATATTTGTCCATTTTTGCCTATGACTTCGAGTTATGTGTTATGCAAAATTTGTATTTAAATTGAGAGTATTGCAAATGGTAATGCTGTCATTTTTCAATACCCGGTTTTCACTTTTATTTATATATAGAATTCGGTAGGAATAGATATTTTCAATTGAACAGTGAGTTTTTGGAGAATGTTTTTTTAAAAAGTTTAAAATTGTCATATATTTTTAAAAAATATATATATGATTAAAAATATTTTTAAAGATTTTTAGAATATATCTTCTAAACAAGCTTTTATTTCTTTATAATGCAATTACCACTAAACGGATACTAATGCTTTTTAAAAAAAAAATTTGACACTTAGCCACTCTATATTACAAAACTCCTGTTTGGTCCCCTTTTTTTTTTTTTTTTTTCAATTTTTAATGTTTAGAATAGTTTTTTTTTTTTTAAGAATATATCGTCGCAAAAGAATGAAATTTTTTCTATTTATGTGTAATATTACTTTATGAAAGATCGTGTGATTAAAAATACGAGGAAAAAAATGAAAGAGAATAGGGATCAAACGGGGGCTGAAATTCAAATTTTAATCCAAGTTAAAGTGAATAACTAATTATTACCATATTTTTTATTTGAAATTAACAATATTTCAACTACACATTTCATAATTTTTTTTAAAAAAATTTATTAAAAATATGATTTTTAATCTCCCACCATCTTCAAATGATCTCTCCTAATAAAAGAATGATTTCTTTTGTAAATTCAAAAGTAAAAAAATAAAAATCTTTCTAGTACTTGGGGCTCGAACCTCAGCCTCTGTTTCCTTTCTCTGAATTTTCTTGATGTTCTCTCTTTCGATTGTATGAACAAAGAAACCCCACCTGACTAAAGTAGCCATTTCTTCATTCCAGATTCTTTTTTCTATGCATTTTAATATGGTGACATTTTATTCTTAAATATTTGGGATTTTATTTTATTTGTTTGACAGCTTCCGTGTCAGTACATTGTTTCTTGTTTATTATTTCATAGGGATAAAGCGTTATAATCTGGTGAATTCTGGTTCTTTTTCATTAAAAAAAATAATAATAAAATTATTGGGGTTTTTGAAAATTCTGCCAGCAAAAGGGGAAAAAAGAAGGAAACTTCATTCTTTGGTTTCGAGATCGTGAAAGTTTTAGTAAATGTTCTTCTTTACTTCAGTGCTAGACTTATGTTTATTGAGGTCATTAAATGGAAATGGATGTGTTGACTGGTGACTAGGATTGCAAAGTGATTTTAGCAAATGGCATTTTATGTTATGAATATTGAGAATTTTAGGAGGGCTTTTCCTGACAGATTTCTGTTGTTTGAAAAATTCCCAGACTTTTGAGCTGAGAGATTTCTTTATATCCCTATGGTTTTCTTCTTGGTTGGTGAATATCTAATAGCATGCGTGTGACGAGTTAACATTTGATGAGGCTTGTGTGAGTTTTGGGGTTTTTACATGCCATTTTTGCGCTTCTTTGGTGGCGAATGTGGTTCAGGGAGGGGCCAGAAGTGTACTTTGTGTATTAAGATGACGAATGATTTGTAGTTTGTTTCTTTGAAATATGGAGCATAGGTTACAATTAATTATGTTTTACCATGAATGTTAAAGACTTGGAGCTGTAGAATTATACCGAATTCGTCTGCTTTTCATTTACCATCTTCTGGAGAGATGGGTTGTGCTGCATCAAGAATTGATGAAGAAGAGAGGGTGAGAATTTGCAAGGAGAGGAAGATGCTGATGAAAATTTTGTTAAGATATCGTGAAGAATTTGCTAACGCTCAGTTGGCATATTTGAGATCATTGAAAAATACTGGAGTTACACTCAGGCAGTTTACGGAATCCGACTCCCTGGAACTTGAGGATCCCACTTCTGTCCCGGCATTGCCTCCTTCCCCTCCGACCCCTTTGCTGTCTTCTCCTCCACCTCCACCTCCCGTTCCGCCTGCTTTCATGAGAAAGTTTGAGGATAAACAGCCAAACGTTGAAGTTGGTCGAGGAGAAATAATAGAAGTTGATGAGGAGAGTACTCACACTCAACAACCACTTGTGTGGGCCGGGGAATATTGGGAAAATGTGATAATGGGGAATATTGCTTCTTCATCGCTTGAATGTGATAAAAAGTGCGACACTGTCGAGGAGGAAAATTGGGAAGACACTAATACTGAATTTCTTGAAGAAGATGATGAGGAAGCTGTTGTTACCACCGTCGACGATATTATGCCCAGGAAGCAGCAGATTGTTGAACTGGTCGATGATGATTCGTTTGTGATGAGCTGTAATTCAAATGATACTTCAGACAAGGCTATGGTAGTTTGGCGAAGTAATAAGACCTTGACTGGTATTGTTAAGGACTTGGATGACTACTTTGTGAAAGCAGCAGGCGGAGTGAAGAATATAGCTGTTTTTGTAGATATCAGTATGGGCGACACATTCCTTTTCCGCGGTATCAAAGAAAACAAGAGTAATCCTTCTTCCCCGTTATTTTAATAAAACTCATATTTATGTTACTCCATTCGATGCTGTTATATAGTAAGTATGTAAAAAGAAAAATATGCTACAATCTTTACTACCGTTTAAGAACATGCACTTAATGTATAACTATGTTTTGTACATCGTAGACGTTCAAGAGTTCACTTAACTTGGATAGAGCATGTATTATCTCGTTCTATTTCTTTGAGTGGTCTCATCAGAGACTTTGTTATTGCGTTTCCTCTATCATTCTTTTTTGGTGCTTGTGTCTTCTATCCTCACCTACCATCTTCAACCTTCCAGTTTAGCACATATTTTCCTCTTCAAATTTCAAAGGACCCTTATGCAGTTGAATTAGTATTTTGCCATCCTTGCAAATCAATTCTTCGGTTTCTTCCTGAAAGAACTACAGTCATTTCTTCTATTTGACCAAACTGTCGTATGCTGCAAAATACAGTATTACTTGGCCTATGGATGAAGGGACAATCAAGATAGGATATAGCTAATTCCTGCAAAATCTATTTCAGTATGCTGATGGTCCATTATTATTATGGCACTCTTGTAGTTTCACATTTATGTGCTGTGTGTGCATGTTGGCTGGCATTTGGAAACTTGTCTTTCCTTCCCTTTGAATGCATGTGTTGGTGTTATCCTTCTTTTGGTTGGGTAGATGAAAGATTACGAGCTCCTATGGTTGTGTGTGTGTCACAGACATTTTCATTAAATCACTTAATCAACATTTTCTGGAATTTCAGTAAATTTTTCCAAATAAAATTTTGGCCTAAATATCAGTAGCTGTTACTAATCGAAGTGAAGCCCAACGCAGTAAGAATTTTTATCTGTTCATCCATCTTATTTTTTTAACATTTGTTTGTCTTGTACTTGCTCATTTTGCCGATATTTGTTTACATCTCTGTTCTTAAAAATTATTCCTTATGTTATGTTGGGGTTGAGTGAAGTAATTTAGTTGAAGGCTGCAACAAGAAGAGATGGGAAAAGAGGTCATTTACAAATGCTTAGTATCTTTATACAAGGTTAGTCATAACAGGCACTTAGACACATTTTGCTTTGTAGAGGACTGGTTTTCTGTCTATAGGGCCAATATTTATTAAATGCCCCTAAAGACCTAGATGAATATTGTATTGCCATCCTAAATATCTCAAACTGAAGAATGCTGACTTAGTCTTATCTTCCGTGCTGGGGGAGGAGGGTAAATTTTGGTGGTTTAATGCAATTTAAGCTCAATAATCAATTAAAGCCAGCCAAATTCTGCAGACTCCATTTTGTCTGGATAATGTCGTGCTTTATACATGGTAATATGATTTCAGTTTCCACTTATAATTTTTGTTGTGCAACCTGTTTTATTACATATATCACATGTATGTCACCCACAAACGAATATGCTCTCAATGCACCAAAAACTACAACTGTAGACTTAACTGGAGCTCACACTAAGTTCAACGTGTTTAGGGAACAGAAGCAGTTCAGCAAAAGTCTTTAGCTCCCTGACGTGGAGTTGGTATTCTAAATCATTTCGCTCCACAAGAGAAACTGGAGAGGTCTATGTCTCTGGTGAGCCATGTAAGCCTGGAGCCCATTGTATTACCCTCCAAAAACTTTATTTGGAGGAGCAAAAGATCTACAAAGCAGTCAAGGTGATTATTTTTTCTAAATTATGTAAATATAAAATACCCCCACAGCCAGTAACTTTTTGCATCAATCTATTGCTAGAGTTTGACAAAGTAGTCATATCACATTTCTTTTTGGTATTCTTTTGATAGTCAATTTTTGTTCTTCAGAAGTTTTAGGGTTCTTTCTTTGACCTAAATTGTGACATCTTGTAGGAGGAAGAGAGTGCTAAGGTGGGGCACCAGAGAAAATCTTCATTGCTAGGTAAACTAGAGGAAGAGCACAATTTGGCTAAATCTGAAAAAACTCGTTCAGCTGTTGAAAATTTGCAGTCTTACATCTTATCTCTGCAACAATCAATCAGTCAGTCTTATGAAACCATATTAAGGCTCATAAGTGAGGAGCTCCACCCTCAGCTGATTGCACTATCTTCTGGGTAAAGTTACTGAATTATACAATCCTACTTCCGTTTAAGTCGTATATTATTTATCTTGATAATTGAGTGAATTGCTGAAATCACAACCCTTGATGACAGAAAAATCTTAATAATCTCTGAATTAAGTTTTAACAGCTAAGTTCTTCTTTGTTGTCCTGTTTATAGTTAGGAAGGGGAATTTAGGGAAAGTTAGGTTGGGCATTGACTTCCACGTTACATGAAATTTTTAAATTTTAGTTCAATAAACAATAACTATGTACTAAGCCTTATTCCCAGTAAATCTGGGGTTGGTTTCATAAATCATTTTTTGATATTCGGTTTAGGTTCATTTGGTATATATATTTGAAGTTGTATAGGATTGTTAGCAACTACATCTTGTCATATTATTTTTAGACTTCTAGTCTAACCCTCCTTCCTCTAACTTGCTCTACTGAAATTGTGTCACTTATATTAACATGAGCCTCTTTAGGGTTCAATAAACATAGGAGAAAATAATATAGCAACGAATCAATTTGAAAGGCTGTAATACATGAAACTCAACCCTGTTGGGATAGCTTTTATGGAGGACACCTCCGTCATCTCAGCTAGTATTGTCTTGATCTACCCAATGATTCCAAGATGCATGCGCCCTGCTGCGATAACTTTCTCTGTTATTTTTTTCTTTTTTCAGATTGATGCATTTGTGGCAAACTATGTATGATTGCCATCAAGTCCAGAATCATATATCTCAACAGCTAAATCATATAGAAAATCGGCAAAACACAGAATTTAGCAGTGAATACCATCGGGAGGCTGCAGCTCAGTTAAAAACAGAAGTCACTTATTGGTACAACAGCTTCTGCAAACTCGTAAAATATCAGAAAGAATATGTAGGAGCTCTCTGCAAATGGACTGAATGCACTGACTGCTTTAGAGATGTTGATGGATGTGGTAACACATCAATGGTGCATTCTCATGCCCTTGCTGAAGAATGGCTGCTTGCACTTGATAAATTACCTGATAAGGTGCCTCTGTTTGTTTTCTTTAATTCCATCTTCAATTCCATTTTGCCACTGGCTAAACTATTATAAGCTTCTCTAAATGAGGTTTTCCCATTTGTTTCATCCTCCTTGCTCTCAAAAAGAGTGGAAGCATTGAATCACCTCATCTAAAAGTTTTTATTATTGAAATCATCTTCCAAATGCTCTCTTAAGTATAGGCCGGATCAATTTTTCAATCAAAGTGCAGCTACAAAATACGAGTTCGATGGAATATAGAATAAGGATATACAAAATATAAGTGGGCACTGTCAGAGTTAAGGACCTCCGCCTATGTTGAATCAACCATCTGTGCTCTTAAATCCTTGGAGAAACAATTTTATTATTTTAAATTATCTTCAAAGGGGAGAAACTGGAACCATAAGAGGTGTACTCTTACGAGCATGTGTAGATAATAGTGATCCTATATAGTATGCCCGAGAATGGAATCTTCCGCATCCTGGTTTCACTAGAAAATGGTGTTTAGATCTAGTGTGTGAATGGAGTATTTAGGGTGTCTTTCGCATTTGCGTGCTAAACCACCATTTGAAAATTTCACTCTTTTATTACGTCTTCCCGTAGGAAATTAAATTATTGCAAAATTAAATTGACACCAAAACTATTGTTCTCCTTCATTTTCAGATGGTCTCAGAGGCAATTAAAAGTCTATTATCAGCTATTCACACAATTGTCTTGCAGCAGCACGAGGAAGTCAATCTGCGTAAAAGATCCGATAAACTGGGAAGAAAATTGGAAAGGGAACTTACTTCTCTTTCGGAAGCGGAGATGAAGTTCGATTGCAGCCTCTCTACCGAAGATACAAATTCCGCCTTGACATCCAAGAATCTGTTGTTAATTAGGCGTGCTAAAGTCGAGGCCCTAAAAAGATTAGTGGATGACGAGAAGGCCAAATACGGTAAATCTGTTCAAACAACCCAAACCATGATTCTGAACAACCTGCGGACAAGCCTTCCCAACGTGTTTCAAGCTTTAATGGTTTATTCGAATGCTTATGCTCAGAGCTTTGAGGTCATTCTTAGTAGTGAATCAATAGTCGGACATGGCCGCACTCAACCTGCAACTTTTATTAGCGCTTAGTTTCTTTGTGTGATAATGTCCATGACTCTAGGCTTTTTTGCTAAAATGAAAACTTCAGTTCATTAACACTTGACTTCTATATAGTTAGGAATACAGGCATGGACACTGCAAAGGATTTCCAGTTTTCTCCCGCTAGCTGGTAGAGATGAACAGGGTTTGGAATGGATTATCAAATATCTCGGCAGGAGACATACTGTGTGGTGGTTGTCATCCTCCCGCTACTGCCATCTTGTTCTATCTTTTGGTTAGAGATTTCTCTATACGAATAGGAGTTGACAATGAGTTACTGCAAATGGAGGTCTCTTGTATCCCTTGTGTTGAAATCATATCCAGATAAATTACTTTTCTTGTTTCTGAAATACATGCTCGTCCCTGCTTTCAACATTTTCATACCTATGAAATCCTTGGTCCTGGGAATACGGGATTTAGGACTAAAAGTACCATGATTCTTGGTTGGAATGTCTGATCCTGAATGTCTTTGAGGAACTCGATTAGATGTTAGATCAGCCCAATTTCCACAGCGGCTGATGTACTGTTGCTACATTTCATCATGAACCCAATTTTCGGATGAATCTCCATAACCATTGTCTAGCTGGTAGAATTCATTCCGTGCCAATCTGGTCATATCTGGTCATTTCAAGACCTGAAAGGAAACGTAGATCAATTTTTATTTAAAAAACATGACATTAATGAAAATAGGTTAATACGTTACTACAAGTGTGGCCTGAGCATTTTCATACTTTGCAAACATCGAGTATTACATTGTTATCAATTTTTGTGAGAATTTATATTGATCTATCATGTATAGATAAACAAACAATGTATAGATCAAATGCGTAAAATGAAAATCATGAACTAACATTCAGCCATTGATGTTTAAACTGTTGAATTTGGAATTGTATTTAGTGTTTCCAAGTCTTCAAGAATTCTCCGTGATGGTGTATTTTCATGAAAAATTCAGACTTGGGAACCAATACCACTCTTTACCTTTTATAAACTTCTTCCCATCAAAGAAGTTATGGAACATGAACGTTTACCACAATGGGCAATTTTGAGAAGGTGGTTAATATTCAATAAACGAGGGAAATAATTGACCACTTTAATATTCAAAATATTAACAATTTTGTCAAATATATCAATTCTTACCATCTTTATTGCAGAAAGTAACTCTCTACGTTGTAGCATGCATATGTGTGACTATTCTATAAAATTCACATGATAACACTGTTCAAAACCTAAAATTTTGTAAGTAGGATTGTAGGTATTCAATTTATTAAGCAGAAATCAGAACCTCAATATTCTAACGAGTCACAGCTCAAAGCAGTTGGCTCCAACCATGGGTTGAGCCAATTGATGTCGACGTGGTGAAGAGAATAGAGAGGTGGCCGATGCAAATGCTAACGAGATAAGTAAGAAAAGGAAAATCAATTGGTGGTGGACAAATCCTAGGTATTAAAGATTGGAGAAGAAGGGAAATTTTGGGACCTATGAATTTGAAGACCTCAGGTATCGGGCAAAAGGGAAGGGAGAAAAGGAAAAATGCAAAAAATAAAAAATAAAAAAAGAAAAAAGAAAAATAGATAAATAAATAAAAGAAAGTTTTGTAGTCGGTGGCCGTCACATGACCCAATGTGGCTTCCCCTATAATCCCTAGGTTGAAAATAAGTATGAGAATTAGACAGTTTTGAATTAAAAGGAAACAATCAGGCATATATTTTTAGTAAATTTGACAAAATATGTGGTTAAAAAGATATGAGTTCTACGAATGTACAATTAAAATTAATTATTGTATTTTACTTAAAATTTTAATATATACCAAATAAAGGGGCTAACGTTGTTTCGGAGCGTAAAATGTGCAAACGAGGAACAATCATTCAATACCACGATAAAGGTTCTTCCACCGCTATGGCTAAAAATGCTTGCAAAGCCATACACTACCAATGGAAATTGTCTCTAATTATTATTCATACCAATTAATTTGTTTCGTAATGTAAAATATGCAAAATGAGTGAGAAATGATCATACGGACTATAATGTCATTTCAACACCACGACAATGTTCTCCGGCCATTATGGCTAGAAAAATTTGCTATTCATACACGACAAATAGAAAATGCGTATAAATGTCATTTATACATACTAATGTTGTTTCAAAATGTAAAAAGTACGAAATGAGTGAGAAACGATCATAACGAGTACACTGTCCTTTCAACACTATGATAGCTGTCTCTCCCATTGTCACGGCTCGAAATGCTTGTGAAATCATACACAACCAATGGAAAATGCCTATAAATGTTATTTATTCATGCAAAGGTTGTTTCAAAACATAAAAAAGAGCGAAACGAGTGACAAATGATCATAATGATGTTGCTGTCATTTTGGCACCAAGATAACGATCCTCCTACCATCATGGCTCGAAACACTTGCAAAGCCATAGATGATACGTATAAATGTTATATATAACAACTAATATTTGTTTAGGAACATAAAAAGTGCAAAACGAGAGAGAAATAAGAGCCATGTTGCACTTACAAAAAGTCACAGAATTTTTCTAGACAACTCACAGTGGACGTGGGTGAATAATATTTTTTTGACTTTTTTTTATCATACATGGATCCCACACGTGTTTGTTCTAACAAAATTGTGAACTTGAATTATGTACAAACGGAAATTCTCAAGAAATAGTTTGGGTCAACCATCTATTTGTCATTTTCTTACAACAAAATGAAAGATTTGAGATTGTAAATGACATAAATGAAAGATTTAAGAAAAGTCTGCAAAAAAATAAAAAGTTGGGAACGCAGCTACAATTATCCCTAAATTATATTTAATGTTTGACTAGAAAAAAAAAACACCTAAAAACTTATCCACGTGCTTCAACCAACCCTACCAACAATGGGAATATCACGTGGCTATTTAATTTCACATAAACGATTTTTGTTAGCGGGCGAATAAGTCGATGTGGATATGAATTGAGATCCCCTTGATGGAATTACCTAAACATAATAAAATAATTAAATAAAGAAATTCAAAACAAGATTTAATATGCAAACACAGGCAAATGTAACTCAGAAAACAACACTCCGACGACAGAAATCCATCATTAGAACATGATAACAGCCAGTTCTACGAGAAAGAGTGAAGAAAAAATAACATGTAATGGATGCACACTGCACATACAAAAAAAGTTTCTTTAGCCATGCACCAAAAATCTCAAGCAATTTCTGATGCAAGAAGCAGAGATGTATGCTACTACTGTTAATGTAACCTAGTCAACTCCTCTACCCTCTTCATTAATTCCTCCACGGGAACGCCCATCGCCTTCGAGATTTCTTCCGTCCTATTCCGGCCAAGATCAAGAAACGACTCTATTAAATCTCCGTCCAAGAAGTTTTTAGCGTCAACCGTTTTCTTTTCACTGTAAAAAGACCTCCACTGTTCATGACTAAGTCCTCCCACACCCTTGATCACTTTCCGAAGAATAGTTTGCAGCTTCTCCAAGAAGATATACTGCTCATAAGGAAGAGAAGCAATTACCCCAATAACACCGTTGACGGTGCCGAAAATGACAGTTGGAATCTGGCCAACATCGGAATCTGGCAATCTCATGACAAGAGAACCATGTCGGAATCGGTTGATGAATTCGCCAAGGTGGTATTCGCCAACCACCTCGAGACGTCCTCGCTCCTCATCAGTAGCCCCTTCGCTATTTTTACGGACTGTGAAGAGGTTGAAACTATTCTCAGCACCAAGGTAAATGTCGTCGTCCAGAATCTCAACTGCTGTCATCCAATTCGAATTGTAGTCACGAGCTCGCTCCTCGATAGCACCCTCTTCATGCTGAGATAACAGCAAAGCAAGAATATTAGCAAAATTGCATCGACAGTTCAAGAATCCCCTAATACTGTGGGAGTACAACCAAGAAGTAAATACTGCAACATAGGTCCCAACCTCTTGCTCGAGTAGCAAGTTTATCAATATCCTTTAAAATTGAGCAAGTTAGTTCTCAACATTTCTTACAATTGGTGGTCCCCAACAACTGAAATGTCCAAATCCTCATTAAATCACCACGTAACCCTCATGAAAACATGTCTCACTTCAAAATCTCTGGTACTAGCCCAAGTTGAAAAACAAAACATAGCTTCATAAAGTTGGACGTGCAAGAGTCATGTGATGACTTAATTGAGACTTCGGAGATTCGGTCCTTGGAAACTAATTGTGACTACAAGGTTAAGAACCAACTTGCTTACTTATAAAGGTTGGGAACTACAGTGGCAATACGAACTTACGGAACTTCTTTCTATTTCTTTTCACCTTATAAATTAGAAGAGAAATGGATTTCATCAGATCACCCACAACAATAAAATCTCCTCTTGTTTGTACATAAAGAGCAAGTATGTGCCCATGATGTCCACATTCAGATTGCAACTCACGAGAGCCATCATCACGAAGCATCCACTTGTACAACTGAATCTTCTGATTAATTGCGGCAAGTAGTTTCCCATTAAAGGCATTAAGAGAGTAAACAGCCCCCTTAGTTTCCTTTTCTGCAATGAGCTGAAGTTTTCCATCTTCTACTACAAAAACCAAAATTCGGCCCTGCAAATTATGAAAGAAATGAAAAGGTTAAGGTTAACAAAGACTTATCCGAAAGTAAAACTTCCCAAGGCGTCTAGCAAAAAGCCAAGGCAAACTGCGTAAGCCTCTAACAATTTCAATGTAAAAATCACTTTATAAGCAAAAAATATCACCTATCCTAAATAACAAGCAGCACAAGATAAAAATTCGTTGCAACATATGCATTCTCTTCATCCAAACACACACACACACACACACTCACTCACACATAGAGTTTATTAAAACTTATTGTTTTATTTAGGCAGTAATGCTCTCACATCTCAAATTCTAAATAACCAAAATTGTTGCTCACCAATGTCCACGTTGTGAATTTCAGAGTAATAGGTGTGAAAACTGTAATTGTAAGTATACTAGTATCTGAAGAAGTTAAACTTGTCCATCAACTCTGTAGCAAAATAGTGGGGATAACCTCATATGTTCAACTGCCACAGATGAAGAGTGGCCTTAGTCTCAACCGCCCAGATACCTACTTTTGCTCCCTCCCTTGCTTATATACACACACAGTTAATTACCTTAATTTTGCTTCCAGCATAGGATTTCACACACACGGTTGGGGGGAAATGTGTGTTACCTTGGTAGGTTCATTCTCTTCTGGCATTACATATGCAGTCCCAACGCAGTAGTAAACGTTACTATCATCAGAGAAGGAGCAGCTAAGAATCGAACAACCCCATTCAAATTGATCGAGTGGGTAAGTGGATATGAAGTCAAAAGTTTGGTCATCCAACAGGCGGATAAAGTGCATTTCATGATCTTCTGCGCTTGGTTGATTATACTGTAAGCTACATAGAGCAAAGGTCCGGGTTTTCTCCTGATGGCATATGCGGCGTGCATGCTCCCCAAGTGGAATAGTGCGTATGTGAAGCTTTTGAATATCATCAATGGTGCCAATTGTTAGCTCACCTTCTTTTGCAATTGCAAGGCTGTTGAGAAAGGAAAACTTCTTATTAAGATTTAAACTATAAAAATGTGTGAAAATCTCACTCTCTCCCAAAACCCTCACCCAACTCCCCCCTTTGAAACAATGGTATGTTATCTAATAAATTACAGTTGTTGGCTGTGATACTTTTTAGTAGTTAGTATAACAAGAAAAGAAAATCTAGCAAGATAAATTTGAAGAACTCTGCTCTCAGTTGTAAATTGCTTGACAACAAAAACAAATTTTAATCCGTTACTGAAGGGTAAATTAATCCTAAACACCTTAAGTCTGAGACATGTATTAAAATTAACCAACCAATATACCAAAATAGGATAGAAATTACCTTTCTGGAAAAGCAGCAGAGTTGAAGGGGCACATATGACTCACATCTTTTAGATTTACATTGCTGTAAAGTAATTTCTTGTTACTGCTGTAGATAACAGTGGGCCTATCAGAAGCAGCAAAAACATGCGTTGCATTCTTCGATGAGAAAGTACGAAGCGTAATAGGTTGGGTCCCAAGAGACACCTTTTTCCTATTCATCAGCTCACAAGTACTTGTGTTCAACACAAAATTCAATAGATGTCCATCTCCAAGTGCACATAACAAGTACGATATCTGAAATTGACATCAAGAAGTTTCATAGTTTAGATAAGCAGAGTGACGTAATCTTGTCAGCTATAATTATGACACTCATGCATATATTGAGGTCTGCCTAGGTTTTAGAGCTCATAAGGACTTAAAAAACAAGATAGAAACTAACAATACGAGTCCAGTTCTTAGAAGCCAGTGTTGAACTGTTCAAAAATCTAATTCAAAAGGAAATATTGCACTTGCCTCCCTTGAGGAGTTAAGGTTTCCAAAGAGAACTGTAGGATGGTAGAAGGCATTGACAACTGGGTTTATGAAAGGGATGGAAAACAGAGGGAGGGGGAAGAGGGGGGGGGGGGGGGGGGGGGGGGGGAAGGA